AAAAACCTACCAAAACAAAACCCCAGAATAACGCACAACTGCTTAATTTGTGGCAAAAAATGACAATAAGAATGCTCTTAGAGAATGTTTTATGTACCTTTTATCTGTCATATATGCATTTATCTCACTTGAACATTAGCATAATTGAGTTAATGTTGAGCCCTGTTTCTCCCAGAAAATCAACAGAAAAAGAGTTTTGTAGCTGAGAGTTTCTCAGGGATCCAGATGCTTTAGATCAATTGCAGAAAAGTCATTCTCAAGATGACTAATGGTTTGAAAACTGAAAAGAAGTAAGCTCCGTAGGGCACAGTTTGTGCTACCAGGCTCTGCTCTACTGTATGGTTTTATTGTTAATTGTTTGCGTTGTGTTACGTCTTCTGTGAGCCTTATCACAGGCGAGGGTTTCTCAAATGAATTAATTTTGCCAGCAAGCATTGATGGAGAGGCATAATGCTGAATGAAGATGTACTAATTAGCAAAAGTACTAATTTTACAGAAGCTGAATTAAAATTCTTTGTCACTTACTGCAGTACATCAAATGTGCAGCTTGACATGCAAAATATAAATATTATATGTGTAGCCTACTTCTGTCAGCACACTCTGTATTGCACCTGTGAATGAAGGGTACTTTTAACTCTGCCATGTGAAGGGCAATTCAGTACTGAGATGAGATGAGTGTGATTGTCCTGTCATATCCTGCAGATGATGTTGGCCATTTGAATGTCTAGTTCTCTCTGTATGGCTGCTGCTTGGCTGTTCTCTCTCTAAAGCACTGGCTCCTTCACATGTTGTGTTTTATGAAACAGTATCTCCTTATTTTTCCTTTCACTGTCTGTAAAAATCACAGTGAGATATATATAGGGAGATCTGGTTGTCACAGGATAGCATAACCTAAATGTAGTATATAGCACTGTCAAGTGAAAGTGCAGTCAAAATATGCTGCAAATCTACTTTGTCTAAATAGTATGTTACAGCACTGGAGACGTGAGTTATCTTTAAAGCTCTTTTTAATTATGTTGGGCATGTTGTTGGAATATAACTGCAATATCAGCTTGTTTTGTGATAACCTCTGATAATCACTTTAATAAATAATTGCTTCTGTTAAAGAAATAATTGTTGCTCCTCCATCTATAGCCTATTTTAAAAAGAAAATTATCATCAGAAGTTGATGAATGAAATTCTTAGGTCAATGTCATATATAAAGGAAATGTTCAGATGTTCACAGGTGAGTGTTATTTACATTTTAAAATTGAGACAGCAGTTGATACAACTTATTTATTTAATCCCTCTTGTCTATGAAATACATTATAAATATTTATTGTTAAGTGCTGAGTGAAAGCAAGGAATATGACTCTTGGTAACCATTACCAGCAATTCTTCTGTGCTACAAAGTATTTTCAGATGCTACAAAATCAGAGCAGGAATTCCTACTCTAACTGAATAAATCAAGTAGGCTGTTTCTACTTTTGCTGACGCTACTTGGTGTACTGCTGATGGTGCCTTTGTATGAGTGTAATGATGTATTTGTCTAAAAATGCACTCAATGGCTTGGATGGAAAGTGGTCTTGAATCCCTGTATCCTAAACTATCTGAGTTTTTTTTTGCTGGAGTATTTCTGTCTGTAAGTTTTGAGGTCACTAGTTGACCTGAGCTGCTGGCTGACTGATTCCTAAGACGCTGTTAGCTGTCTCCATGAGCTGGTGGTTAGCACTTGCCTAAGGATTGCCAGCAGTGGCTGCTGAAAGGATGAGAGTGCCCAAGTGTTGTTGCACACTTAGTGTGCAGAGCACTTGGTGGTGCAAGGGGGACATAAAACATACATAGAGCACTTTTTCCAGTTAATAAGTGTTTGTAGTTTTTACCTGGAATATCCAACTTTATTTCTGCAGGTTAAAGTTTCTGAAAATTATGTAAGCTGTTCAGTGCATTAAAACAAAAGTACAAACTGCTGTGAGTTACATGAGATGATGAAAACTGCTCGGTCAGATGATTAATGTGCAATACAACTGAGCAGATTCCCAGATGACAGAGAGAATGTGTTGAAGAGATCATTATTACCAGAGCCTTGGCAAGATATCAAATGGATGCTGTAAATATGATATAACTATGAAGATATACTTATCTGAGCCAAAATACAGTGCATCATACATCCAAATATCAACACAGCACATAGCTAACTACAGGGAGGCAATGTGCTCTATGGAAATATTATTTATGAAGAAGGCATAGTGATACACATAATGCTGAAGAGGTAGTAATGGGCAGGGGGGTAGATTTTTAAGCTATCAGAGAGCTCTGCTGAGATGCAAATTATTTTTCTTGTCTCTACTGACAGGTATTGCATGTTGTGCTCCATTTTCACCTTTGTTATTTTGTTGTTCCTTAAAGCTCTTCTTCAGCATTGCTGAAGGGAGGAGGGGACATGTCATAGGTCATTTTTGCTGAAGTTGGTGCTGAAAAAAGACTAGTTGTGTAACAGTTTTAGCTGGATTTGTTCTCTTATGTAATGTCAAAAGTATTAGGAACACAAATGCAGTCTCCATGTCTTCCTCGCTAGTGGAAATACTGGAGGATGTTTGGTCTCTGGGATTTACAGAGAAAACACAATGTTGCTGGAATGCTGGAAAATCAGTGGCATTCCAGCCAATTCCCTGAAGATGTGTTCTGACCAATATAATGTTCAGAAATATGTAGGGTACTCCAATGTTTCTCACTGAAATTTGGGTCTCTCCTCTATGGCGCATTTTGGACTGTTCTCTAAATAGTTTTACACAGTGTGAAGAACTTGCAGTGAAAAGGTAAGACATAGAGATATTTTATCATAAAGTTAAATGTGCCTATAAATAAAATTAAATCCAAGGTGTCATTTCAAAAAATCAGTTTAGAGGGATATCTGAAAAGTATTTTTACTATGTACATTCAACCTGTACATAAATAGTTTGCGCTACAAAGGACCTTTTAGACGTGGAAGTCAAATCTGGGTCTTCATTTTGTCATCAGCAAAATTCCACTTGTGTTGAATAGTTTAGGAAGCTTTTCTGTTAGCAAACTCTTTAAGACTTGTATGCCACAGGCAACAGAATATTTGATTTTTTTTCTTATTCATAGGCAACTCTTACCAAAAAGCTATATGCTTATAGTTTGACAATAGCATCCTTATTTTAGGGTCTCATCCCATTCTAGTTCATGAGAGTATATCTACTGTCAGCAAGAGAATGACATAGCTATTAAACTAGCTAAGCTAGAGGATGAGGCCTCAGTGAAATAAGAGTATTGCATTCTTGCTGTGTCCAAGGACGACTGGCTAAGAAGAAAGGAGGTTCGGTAAAAGACAATCTTTTCCATTGTCTCTCTATTGTACTAGAATAAATAAAACAAGTGTAATCATTGCTTCTTCCTTTCTAATTATAATTTGTGTTCCTTCTGTCAGTGTTGCAATGTTTTAGCCCTTGTCATTCAACGTTGTGAATGTGTTTGGTTCAGCTTATCTAACTGGAGACTCCTAGAGGTTCTGTACCCTGGTCTTCAGTTGCTCCCTGTGGATTGCCTTGTTAGTCAGTAAAAACAGAGACAAGCACCTTCATAGAAAGAGCCCTTTCACTTGGCAGTTTAAGAACTTGTTAGGTCAGTAGGATGTTGTGGCTTAGGGACATAAAATCAAAATATATTGTCTGAAAGGACAGAGCATTATGTGGCCTCTGCCATCAAACTGGTGATTTGTAAAACACAGTCCTGAGCAGAGGACTTCCAGCAATAGGTCCTGCTGGGGCTAAAATTACGTGACATAAAATGTGATGTGCCATACTGCAAAAGTTAATCTTATTTCCCCTCCTTCCTCCACAAAGTTATTACTTTCATATATGTAATAATAAGGAGAAAATACCTGTTGTAACAACTTAGGCAGCAGTATTTTTTTTTAATCAACTGTCAGTGTATTTTGGTACATGCTCACAATCCTACAGTTTTTGTTCAAATGAGAATGAGAACCCAGTGGAGTTTTATTTCTGAATTTTTCATGATCATTTCTTCTTGTCTGCCAACACACACCACAGGATAGAAGGCTGATTATAGTGTGCTCTCCTTTTGTTACTAGGTCAGTACTTCTAATTCTGAGCTTGTCTGCGTCACTGGGAGTATCAGATAATTTTCTCAGAAGGAAGCCTCTGACATGCTCAGAATTAGTTTAGTCAGCAGAAAATCATCTTTGCAGAAAAGCTTACTGATTACTCTGAGAGTCCAAGTTACCTGTACTGAAGAGTCTGTATGGGTCAGAGTGTGTATTCTGGATCAGTAAATTATGATTCTGTGTTTGAATCTGCATGCTATAAGTGAAATTAGTGACATCTTTTAAAAGAATTCAGTCCTACTAAGAATATGCATTCACGCTCTAGGTTTCTTCATCTTCCTTTCTCTGTCCTTCCCCAAACCTTGTTCCTTTAAAGAAATTTTTAAAAGTGAAAAAAAAGGAAAATTGTGGAATGTGGAAACAGATTTGATGTTTTTTTTTCTATTTAAATATCACAGAATCATTTTGAAGTGTATCTGTTAAATGTACCTAATATGTATATGCTTGAAAGAGCAGAATTGTATTTGTCCTGATTCTTTTCTGTGCTTCAGACAGCAGATTTTGCCAGAAGGTCAGTGTCTTCTGAAAGAATACTTACTTGATGTAAATATGATTTTTTGTAAACAGAAGTTGCATCAAGCAGGTATTCAACAAATCACTGCATTCTGCTTTTAACCAGCGTGCACTGGCCCATCTGGGGGATGTTGTCTGCAAGGGGGAAAGAGAGGATTGCTAAGTTAAGGATTGCTCTGGAGAACCCTGCACTTAGGAAGCTGTGCAAAAATGGGCATCCTCGCCCATGTTTGTTTTGAGCCAGTTACTATGTTTATTAACATTTCATTGGATGGGACTTCTAGAGGGAAATTAGTTGCAGGGATTCTACTCTCTCTTTGTTAATACTTATCACTATTTCTGTTCTATTTTTTGTTTCCAGTTACAAGAAAACACATGAGACCCTGAGCCATGCGGGGCAAAAAGCAACAGCAGCTATCAGCAATGTAGGAACAGCTATCAGCAAGAAGTTTGGAGATATGAGGTATTGGCATCTGCTGCTTCTCTGGTCTTATTTAGAGGACTAAATGTATAAATCATTTGTCAGCTCTTCATTTCCTTCTACATTAGTGTTTTAAAGGTTCAAGTAGTTTGTAGTTAGAGTATTTAATAACACTCATGTTTTTAACTGGAAAGAAGGCATAATGATGACCAAAGATAGAATTTTTATATGAGTCCTGTTTTTTTTAAAAAAAAGTACAGTCAGAAATCCTTTTGTAATAACTTTGCAAACTCAAGGAAACATATAAGTAAAATGGAACAAAAAATTGCTATTAGATCTTTATTAACCCAGTTTTGTTCTTATGTGGATGCTGGAGAAAAATATCATCTGAAGAAAAGAAGCCTACCTAGGAGCTGCCTGTGATAAGAAAAAAAAATATTTCAGGCTATTTTTAATCCGTTTTTATTCAAGATATATTGCAAAGTTTTGTTCTGCTGTTGTATAAAAATAGATATGATAGAAGTAACAGGAGTTGAGGTCAGTAGAACTGCCACTTAAAGGCAACTTCAGTGTCAGGCTTTATATGTTGATGTATCTTTTAAAGTGTTGGCTTTAAAGTTCCTCAGTATGAGAGCAAAAACTGTATACTGTAAACCAGCATTCCAGCTTTCATTAGGTAGCAGAATTACAGAACTTCCTGAGTGTTTGAAAGAGTTGTTTTTTTTTTGTTATAAGTGGACATGGATAACTCCACAAGTGAATAATTAGGGTCTCATTTATTCATAGTGCATATTATCCCATTGGAATATATTCACTTTTTTGTTATGACATCCTAAGATAACCGTATCCTAAGATCTGTGTATGTTGCAAATGACTGAATCTTAGTTCATGGCAATAAAGTAATTTCCCCCCCCCCCTTTTTATTTTTATTCTGTATCTTAAATCTTTAAAGTCCTCCCCTTAATACTTACCTTTTACATACAGCTTAATAAATCCTCTAAAGAAGTACTAATGTATTTCTAGGTGAAACTAAAAAGGAAAATCTTCATTACTATATCATGTGCTTTACAGTGTCTTTTTCCACACTACAGTTCAAAATGGGAATTTAGTGAATGACTTACAACCTTCATACATAACTTAGTTATGTTTGAGCATAACTAAGAATTTTTTAGTTGACCCAGTTAAACATTCATGAGTAGTATATGCCTATCATAGGATAGAAGAATAATCAGACATGCAATTATATTTTCTTAGTGTATTTTTTATTGTTCAAAAATCTAAGAGCTGAAAACTTTCTAAAACATAAATTTGAGCCTTCATTTAAAAGTTTCTTGAAGGTTTTTCTTCAAAATTTGTCATTATTTAGAATTTACTTTAACTTGTATGAGCTGCTGAAATTCATAACACCTCATGTCTCCCCAGAGGAATAGAAATTTGTGTGGTAAAGTCTGTGGTTTATTTGTTCGTTCATTTATTCCATATTTGGAGTCTCCCTGGTCTTTCCTTTGGTGCCTTCTGGCTGTTCCATTATGAGAAACAGTGAGTGAGTTCTTCTTCTGACCTTCATTTCACTCATTATTTCTTGTGGGTTTATTGTATTTCACTTCAGTTCCCTCTTTCCAGGCTCCAGTTGGATGAGTCACTTTCACAAGCCTTTTTGTTACCTTTGTTAATTCTTTCTGCCTTCCGTGCATTTATAGTTGTATTCTGTGTTTTTGAGAAATATATAAGAAGTGTGTGATGCATGTGGCACCAACACATTTTTTGTTTTCTTACCACTTCCTCTTGCAAAAAAAGACAAGCTCACAGCTCAGCAAACAGGTCCTGTTGCTGCTTCTTTGCTTTAGATCCTAAAGAGTTTCTGTGTGAATACCTTGAGCACTGGCTCTGGATTATAAAGGGAAGGATGACTTAGCAGTTCAGGATTTCTCAGGTCCTATTACTAGTGCTTTGCACATGGTATGAGATTAACTGCAAAGGCAGAAATATCATCAGTGAAATACAGCATGTTCAGCCTTTAGTATTTCCCTTAATTAATCAGTGTTACCAAATGCCTTTGTCTTACCTATCAGTATCAGCCCTCATGCCCATGACAGTCATGCTTCTGACATGGCAGATGGGAGGTGTTTATCTCATTAGCTCTTTAGCCAAGGGCTCAAAGCAGAGGCTGAATCCACCAGCATTTTGATTAATCAAAAAGAGGATTTCTAGTAGCTTTCTTTGATTGAAATTATTATCTTGAACCTGGTTGGGTATTTTTCAGGAAAATATGAAGTACCAGCACTGCCTTTTTTGTGGATACTTGCTGTTTTCAGTTAAGTTCTCAGTTAGGAGTTTTCTTGATGCTTGATGATGAAGCAGCAAGTGGCCTAGCCACTAGGTTCCCATAGTTAGAGGGAGAGTGGGGTGGCTTGGACCTTCTGCATCTGCTGCACATCCTAAATCTGGAGTGATGGTCAGTATGCTTCCCTTAGCAGCAAAGCTGGCCCAAATTCTTGGCTCAGCTTGGCCAGGTTCTCTGTGGGGTCACATTACAAACCTTATCACTTAAATAACCTGATTATTAAAAATCTTCCCCCTCCCTTTCCAATCTCACTTGTGTTTGGGGGAGTAAACTGTAAAGAGGCAGGAATTTTCTGTGTCATTGTTGGCTTGCTTTTTTTGCTAATCCAAATAATTTTATTTCAGTGATCTAGTATATGGATTATCACCACCCCCTCCCATACTGCTGTTTTAAACAAACATCAGACTCTAGCTTAATTCTCTTGGTTAAGTATTAAGGCTGACAGTCACCAATGACATCCAGATGCAAATCCCTGTTCTGCTTTCACTCAGAGGACACACTTGAAACTGATTTCTAAAATCCAGATGTCATCATAATTCCCAGTATGTTCAGCAGCCTTACCCCCCTGGTGATGGTGATTTTGAAAGGGTGTGTAGACAGACTGACTAAATACTGAAACCTGCCTTCTTTATGAAACAAAATTCTGTTTTCTCTGTTACCTGCTATGTCAACTGTGCAGAGCACATACATATTTCTGTTCTGAAGTTGTTGGGTCTTAATTTTAATTTTGTTTTATCTCTAAAAATATTACTAAAATATCATATAAAAACAGGTCAGATAGACTCCCCCAAATGTGCTACTTTGCTATGTTAGCATTCAAGAAGATAAAATCTGTAAAAAAAGAGGCAAAATTCTGTGCGTCTGAAGGAACAGATGCCACGCTTTGGGGACCAAGTGCTTTTCCTGCAGCTGCTGTGCTTCTCTGTCATCCCCACCCCATCTTCCCAGTGTCGCAACTCTCTAATTCATTTTGTGCATGAATAATCACTAATGTTTTACATTTTCTGAATTTTGTATTAATAAGCTTGTAAGAGATCTTTACAGTCATAGTGCATCCTATTTGATATTGTGTTTCTAGAAATACAAGAAATGCATTTAAAACCAGTGTACAGATACTTCTGCTTTAGGATACAAACCAGACACTAGCAATATAGCTAAGATAATAGATTCTTCATTAATAGGCCTTGTGACTAATTATATGCCCTCAAGATTTTTTTTTTTTTTTTTGCTCCTCCATCTCCAGCTCACATTGTCTCTTTTAATATTTAGCTGGTGTGGAAAGTTAAGAGGAAGGGGGTAGTCCCAGGTCACTCACAGGGCATTGATCAGAGGTTCAGATCTCTTGGCATTAGAGATTGCACTGACATTTTAACACGCCTCTTGCTAAGAGCACAGATGTGATAGAGTTGAGGGGCTTTATCCTTTTCTGCTTTGCTTTCTGCTAAAGTTTGAATATTTTCATGCTATACTGCTGGACTACTCTGCAGTTGTCTGTATGAATCTGTCTCATCCCTGCTGATGGCCTTTTTAGAAACAAGTTGTGATACCAAGTGAGACATTTTGTGGTTTTGGGTTGCTTTAAAAAAAAAAAAAAAGGAAAGAAAAAATCAACCATGTGCACTACACTACTATATGCACACTACCACATACATTGCTGCTACTCAAGTAAAGGTATTTAAAGATTAAGCTAACAAAGGCATGCATGCAAATTAGGATGTCAGCAGTTACATTTTGTATAGCTCCTTCATTCAGCTCTCTGGTACGTTTTCCTTAATTACATGATCACACAGACCCCTTTCAAATTCAGTGCCTGGGATGAGCCAGCTCCCAGGATGAATGAAGGTAATATAATGCCTCATTCCTGCCAGGAGTTGGAAGGCACAGGTGGAAAGACACAAAAGACTGCAGGGAGGGACAGCCTGGGGACATGACTGCAGCAGTTGAATGTGCCCCTCAGAGATCAGCACAGAAGGTTTAGGAGGCACCAGAGGGGTGGAGGAGGGCAAAGTTAATTCCTCTCCGGAGGTGCAAGGGGGATTCTGGGAACTACAAAGCAGATACTGGAGGAATGCATTAACCTGTTATTTTCTAAGCATCTAGAAGATAGCGTGATAGCAAAAACATAAAAGGGTTTGTCAAGAACAATTACCTTGAACTGACAGCACCTGTCATAGAGGATAGATGGAAGGTAGGAGATGTGATAGAGCTTGACTTTGATAAGGCTGTCTGTACTGTTTATGCAGAACTAGAGAAATACAGCTTAGGTGTTATTGCTTTAGCAGGAAGAGAGCATAGGGAATTGAAGATTTTATTCAAAGAATAGGTCTCAGTAGCTGACCATAATGTAGGATTTTGCAGGCATCTGTCCTGAGTCTGTTATTCATCAGCATTTTCATTGCTGGGTTAGATGAAAGTGCCAGGATGGCATCGCTTAGAATTTCCATATAAATGCAGTGGCAGTGTATGCAAGCACTTTAGGCACCACAATTAGAAATCCACATTATTTTAAATGATAAAATAAAATTCAGTGTAGGAAAGTGTAACGTGCTTTATTGCCAAATGGGGAAGAAGTTCAAAAGCAGAGATGGGGAGCACTGACCAGGCAGCTCTGCAGAGAAGGGCTAGCAAGTCTAGCCCTGTGGTTCACGAGTGCAGCCGAACAGGGGTTATTTCTGAAGGCTGGGAAATCTCTGTCATTTAAAGTTTTTAGGAGCAGGTGGGGCCAAAATCTTTTGGTGATGGTTCAGGTATGATTAATCTGCTTTACCACTTTTTGAGTTGATTTTTGCTGTGCCTTTATTGTTGTGCCTTTGGGGGTTTTGTTGTTGTTGTTTGTGATGACAGAGTTTTTGCACAGCCTTTTAGGATTTCTGTGATGTAGGGATGTTCTGGGCACTTAAAACTGCTGTCAGATCTGAATTCCTTCAAATGCTGTAGCTGTCATGCCTGAAACTACCATTCTCAAACCTTTGCCTTTTGATACCCCTATAAAGGAAATAGCAATACTACCTTGCTTCAGAGCATGATTTCATAAGCATTTCTTTTGCTGATGGGTGAGGACCTTGTTTTCTCTCACTTTCATGGACATTTGTCCCTTAATTTGTGCTGGTTTTTAGAAGTCTGCAGTAACAGAGATTTCCTTATCATATGTCTGTGCAAGTATCTATACTGACATGGAGAAGGGGGTGGCTGTTACTGGGAGCCAGCAGGTAGTAAAAGGAGGACAATAAAGGGGTCTAAGCAGAAATGTGTTGGGAAGACAAACCCTTGAATGTTTGAGAAGCACCAGTGTACATGATGATGTGCATAACCTTGTAAATAAACCTGAAGAAATCAGTGCTTTTCTTTGGAGCAAAGTATAGGCATTGCACAGTAAATAATGCATCACATCACATATTGAGAAAGGATGAGAAAAATAAGTATTTGAAGAGATGTTCATTAAGTGTGCACCACCTCACTGGCTCACTGCATGAGGCAGGTGTTCCCTTGAAGTGGTCTGTAATTAAAGACTACATCAGTAACACAGATGAAGGAGAGGCTTGTCTGCCTCATCATTTCTCAACTCTGGAACATTAATGACATCCTTTGAATATTGTATATCAGTGTGTCTCTCCCAGTTCCGCCTTAATTAAGTTTCCTGTGAGTTGGAACACAGTGTCAAGGTGTTTCAAGTATTGTTTTCAACAAGGAACAAGTATTTTAGAAAATGTTGTTTTAGGAATTAAAAACTCATTATTTTTTCCATAGCCTTTTTTAACTGAGTGATGATTAAGGGATTCAGAGGGGGAAAAAATAATTTGCTGTTATGTACCTGTACAATTCCAGTTCACCTATACTTTAATGATATTAAGAGAGGCTATGAGAAGAGAAAACAGTTAGCATTGTTTAAACCTATTCTAATGAAGAGAACACAAAATTTAGTTTTTAAAGATAAAACTTCTGTTTTTCAATGAATACAGAATAGGTGACTGCATAGCGAAGGACTGTGTGAAATTTTTTGCTTTGGAGAGATCTGAACTGATCCACATTCTACTGTGAATTCCAGCATAAAGATTTGAATGCAAATTATTTTATTTTTCTCCTTGGGCAGTTTGATATGCTACAGATCTGTATGTCTGGTTTTGTTACCTTTTCCTAATACTTTTAACTCTTGCTTTTCTTTCCTTGTGCATCCACTCCAGATCACATTCAATTGGGTAAGACACATTACTCTCCTTGAATACTGCCTCTGTATTTGACAAGATTTGTTTTATGGGCTGTAATGCAGTAACCTCTTTCCTTTCAACATCATTATATGCTACTTAAACTGTTATGCCTCATTTTTACAGCATAGTGAGTGTAACAAGAAAAGGATTGGACTAAGTGTTTGCCTTGAGTAGATTAGTCTTAAATTCAAATAATGGACACATTCAAAAGACGTTGGTCTTGGGAAAACCTACTTATATATAATCCCATCCTCTCAACCATATTCTTTCTGTCAGAGGTTTTAACATGAACAATAAACAGTAAAAATTCTATTCAGCTGAGTTTTGTAAAGATTATATGAAGTATTTAATTACCTCGTCTTCAATAGGGCAAAAGTATCTTAGTCATGATTCTTTAAAAGTCTTGAGTCGTGGGGAAATTTCCAAATTCTGAAGATGATAAAAGAGTTCTTTATAATTACAGCTTGAGTTTATTGATTCTGTAAAGCACTTGAATATATGATAAAAAAAAAATGTTAGAAAACAATTTTTTGTGTTCTCAAAGATTCTATGAGCAGTCTGGCTTTAGATCAGTTCACCGTGAAGAGAGGCTGAACAGTCCTGAAGGCCTTGCCACTCCCTCTGGCCTTGTAGTATCTTCAGAGCACTGAAAAGCTCAAGAGCATTTTTTTTGTGGCATCTCTTAGCTGTGTGAATTTAATCTTCTGATTTAAACCTTTATGTTTGGAATGTTTCGCTATTAAAAGACGAGCAGTCTATGCTGAAATATTTCCAAACTCTATTTTTGCCTATTTGTTGTGGGTTGCAAAACTAAAATGGCAAGGATGCTTGCTTAACTTAATGAGGACTGTTAAAGATTTGCTGCACTTGTGAAATGTTTGGGCTAATCTTTCATAATTCTTAAAAATTGTGTGAAAAATTGAACACGAAACATTAACATTGTCTGCTGTCAGTTCTTGTCTATCTGATCTTAGCAGAATCCTTAAAATGTATACAACAGCAAACAGTTTGTATTAGATCTCACTATACCACCTGCTTGCCAAATAGCTCTTCCCTCCCTTCTGCACCCCCATGTCTGAATCTTTAATCTGGAAAAACAACTCTGTATATAGAGTCAGTGCTGCTCTGATTCTGTATAGTTTATAACAAGCACGTGTGCTGTTTGTATGAGAGCTTTCATTTTTTAATGCTATAATCATGCTTTGCTTGCAGCCAAGTGTTGGTGATGCTTACAGTAAGGCTTTCCCTGTTCTCAGTGAGACCAGGCTGCAGCTGTCAGTCAACACTGAAAGTAGCAATGCAGGGATTTTTGGAAAAAGACACACTCTTAAATCACACACTTTACTTAAAGTGCTCAGATTGAAATGTGTTTATGGAAAGTTCTTAAGCTTCAAACAAAGATTCATATTTAGACCAGGCATGATGCTTCCCAGCAGCAGGGAATAGGTGATGCTGTGAAAACAGAGTTGGTGTCTCAGGTGGCATAATTTGGCTCATGTAAGTCAAGCAGTCAGCATGGGTGGCATCTGGAGGTCTAAAGGTGTGCAGCATGATTTGGGGATCTTTGAGTTATGCAGAGGCGCCATCCTCTGCTTACAACCTTCCAATGCTCCTGGCTGCTGGGAAGTCTGAGGAGGGAAGTCACAAACAAACTGGATGACAGCTGTGGAAAATAGCTCCGTGCCTTTGGTATAGTTGAGGAGTGAAGGAGGAAGTGAAATGTCCTGGAGAGGTGCGGATATGTGAGAGTGCTGCCTCTCTGGCAGAAGAAACCTCTTGTTTAGGTAAGCAGTTGTGCCGGAGCCTTTTGAGATTGGGAGTCAGCTGAACCAGCTCCGCTGATGTGCACAAATCTGGGGTGTATCCCTGCTGCCCAACACAGAGCTCGTCCTCTGTCACTGCGGGGCATGGAGGGGACTCTCTGTGCCCCTCTCACGTGTCTCTGTAGATAGCCGGGGTCTGCACCATTTAAGTGGATTTTGCCAGAAGCTGTTTTGCATCATTCTTTGAGTCCCATTGCTGGTCAGTTAACATGAGAATGTGGTGGTAAGATCTTCAGTGCTGAAAGTTTGACAAGCCCTTGCCATCAGAAAAGGAAGAATACCAGCTCTCTTGACTATATGTATATGTACATTTAAACCTAAGTTTAAAAAATACATTATAATCATATTGGAAATCGGATTTTACAGCTTTTTTTTCTTTTGTTTTGCTTTCATCCCACAGCTATTCTATTCGCCATTCCATAAGCATGCCTGCAATGAGGTAATGTGCTACCCACATTCTATTTGCTGTGGTGATGTTGAACAGAGTAATGAGGGGGGATTTGCATACTTTGATCCTGATCCTGCAGTTTTTAGTTGGATGAGAAGTCTCACTTCAATCAATTAAGGTTGTTCATGTAGATGAAAGCTGCAGGGCAGGCTAGCTGTGGTTTTTGTTTTTGTTTATTTTTTTTTTCATTTTAATTGTATTAACTGCTTAATCTCTTGTACAAGCCTTTGAGTAAATGAAGCAGTTCTGAGATGTATTTGGGTAGCTGATTGTTATCAGGTTTGTATTACTGAATCTGAAATTCAGTTGTTTTGCTGTCTCTAGAACATCATCCAAAGCCCATTAACGTCAGAGATGCTTTCCACTCCAACAGGCTTTGGATCATGCTCCTATGGAGGGATTTTACATTAGTGCTTTCATATTTTAATGGCTATAATCACGCTTTACTTGACTGCAGCCAAATATTGACGTCTGTTCAAGTAAAGCTCTGACTGTTTTCAATAAAATTAGTATCCAGCTTTCTTTTTACTCCCTTGGCCTCTAAATACATGACTGTCCCCACTCTGTGCTAAGCATGCATGAAAAACAAACTCACAACTAAATGATGGATGCTAATTCATTCAACTTCAGCAGATGGGTAGTTTAAGGCAAGCATTCACCAATGTGACCTACAGATGAAATATAAGTTATAAAACTCAGTTTCTCTCTCCTTTTGGCCCTTCTTGCCATATGAAAAAATCTGTCATCAAAATAACAGAAACTAAATTCGCATTATTTTTTCAACTGGCTTCTGTTCACCCTTCCCTTAAATTAAGGGAAGGGCATTTTAACTCAGCCTGATGGGGGATATGATATAAATGTTTTGCAGAATGAGGAATTGTGCTGGACAACAGTGCCTGAGCTTCAGAGTATTCACTAATAATGAAGCACAATGTATGCTTTAAATGAGGTCTCAGGTGCCAAGCAAGGAGCAGAGAACCAGAAGAAGGTCCCCTTCACCCACTGTAGACTTGTCTTAGTCTCCATTGTGTTGGATGAACACAGAGAAAAGCTTAGCTTAGTCAGAGAGGCACCTTAGGAACACAGTCTCTCTAAAGTCTTTGTCTTTGAAAGCAGCAGTGACAAAATCACAGGAAAGGGTGGGGCGGGACAGGATTCCTCAATGACATTTGGGACCCACTTCCTATGTCGTTCTAATCTCCTTCTTCCCAATCTTAGGACATTAAACTTGGCATCTTTTTAATAATGTAGGTTATGAACTTGCTCATCAGCTGAAAAAAATGTTTATTTCTTTACAGCAACAATACAAATGGATAAAGATATAGAAAAGCAGCATTACAGGCAGAATTGTCTGCTTGTTCTGAGAACATGTATCATAGAGTAGGCATACCAGTTATAATTTGGTTTCAATTACTATGCAGGTTCTACTTTTGAAAATTTGTAGCTAAAAAGTACTCATCCTATTACCATAATTGGATTTGACTGACAGAGCACAAGTGAGTGTTCATAGCCATTTGCTGCCAGCCAGCCTTCATTCTGTGCTGGCACTGTTGCCTGGTAAGAACTGACCAAATTGTGGAATTATCCCATGATGTTGGCAACTGACTCTTTTTCCTCCCTTCAACTTTTTTTCTCTTAGGAATTCTCCAACTTTCAAATCATTTGAGGAGAAGGTTGAAACCACTGTCACAAGCCTTAAGGTAAATGTTAGGGGCAGAGTTTGCATGCCCCGTGTGTGTTAAAGTGTGACAGCGTAGTTGTCCTTATCATTTGTACAGGAGACTGATTTAGTTTGTTGTTCCATCAAGAATTCCATTGAGCACTAATGGAAAATTAAGGCAATACACAAAGAAATTGTTTTCCTTTGCTTTGTTGCTGAGAAATTATTTCTGATATGTGCCAAAGTAAGCAAGTTGTCTCGGAAATGCCAAAAATAGTGGTGGTAAGGAGTGTCTGTTCCCAGTCATCTCAATGTGTCATTCAGAAATAGAAAAAGGTAATTCAAACTGCACAGCTCTGAAGACCATTTCTGCTCACAGTGATCTGCTTGAGAAGCCTGATCTTATTTTGTTGATTAAGCAAAGGTGTTTTAGAGGAGAGTATTTGTCATGCCAGCTCAGCCTGTTGTGTTCAGAGTGCTCTTAGATCATCCTTTAAGAAACCTGTAATTAAGCAGGACAATATAGTAAGTTCTGAGTCTGAAATATTCCTCCGTATCTCATGAAACCTTCATTGTCTATCTTTATTGACAAACTATCTGACATTTTCTTTCTGTATTGTCTTTCTTTCATTTCCTTATGTGAATGGGGAAGGGAAGCTGGAGTCATGGATCTAGGGTGCCACCAGGGTAGACTGCAGAAAAATGGGAATGTTTCAGCATTGCTCTTCCTTTTTCCTACCTCTGTTCCAAGGCTTGCTGGATTAGGAAGACCAGAGGATGGAGGCAGAAATCATAGAGTTACCCTTCAATTCTAGGGTTATGTTGTGGTCTCAAAAAGTGGAGAAATACCCAGAGAGGTCCCTGAAAAAAGAACAGCAGTAGTCTTATCATCTTTCCAACCCCCATATCAGTTACAGATCTTCAGTGATCCTACAGTGTTCTGCAGTTTGCCAAAATAGATGTTTAGATTTCATAACATTTAGAACATCAAATTTCAAATTAGATTTTATTTGCTCTTGAAGTCTGGACTTTGGGTTGCAGCTTTCTTGGGAGAGTATACTAGTTCATTTTCCCCTGGAAATCAAACAGGACCAGGGTGCCTCCTTCTTCTCAACTTTTCTGAAAATCGGAACTCTGATTAATTAAATGTTTTATTGGACTTTCAAGCTAGGTAAGCTGCTGTGCTAGCTAAAGAAACAGGATTACGTAGGATTAACCCTTTGGAAACTTAGAACACAAGGTTCATTTAATTAAAATAATCTTCCTAAGCATTCAGTGGCTGAGAGGTTGAAAAAAATGTCAGCTTGTCTTTGAGTTCTGTTTCAATTCTAGGATGGAGTAAAAGGTTTTGCCCTATTTTCAGGCTTGAATCAACTTGAAGCGGGCATATCAGCAGGCGAAGCCACAAAAGAATGTTCTCTTACCAAGAAAACCTAGTCACAACAGCTTTGTCTCTTTGTCACTTAGTCTTGATCATTTCCAGATCTTTAGGTACAGCTCTGTCTTTGTTAGGAAACTTCTTTTTCAAAGATTTAGTCTTACTGATTTTTATTATTAATACTTATTATAAATTCAGTGACCTGAAGCATTTTGGAAGTAGATGTGTAAGCACATTGGATATGTTTGATTAATATACTTTGGTATCTCTTCTCTGCCTTCCCCCATAAAAATGCCACTGGCAGTTTTATATTCCAGTATCTAGCAGCTATAAGTGCCTGAAGGGATTCAGGTCCTTTGCTTACTGCATTCTTTCTGCTGTCCAAAATCCCAGTATGTTTTATGAATTTTGCAAGCAGCTGTGTTACTATAGCTGGCATGTGGGCCAGAGCAAATGAACCAGTTAATTTTAGTATCCATCTCTTATCCAGCCTGCATAGAATTGGAAAAAAAGCAGTGAAACCAGTGTGAGCTACGCAGGTAAACAACCACATTGGGTTTACTGCTGGGGTCTAGGATCCTACCTGGGATCTACTTAGGGACTGTCTCCTTTAAGCATATGAGACATGCCACTGTCAGATTTTATGATGGCAGCCTTGTTTAGAAATTGTGGAGTAAAGAAGTTGCTTTATTTGACTGGTTTTATAGCTGCTGTTCTAAGGAACCATCCCTACACATTCTCTGCCTGCACAGTTCCTTGCTCTCCTTGGCCATGGTGGGGATTGGAAATGGGATTTGCTCCAGTGTGAGCAGAGGATCTTGCTGTTCTCTGTTTGCCTTATTTCAGACCAAGGTTGGTGGGACAAGCCACACGGGAGGCAGTTTTGAAGAAGTTCTCAGCTCTACAGCCCATGCTAGTGCTCAGAGCTCCCTGGCTGGCACCCGACTCCCTGAAAGCGAAGAAGAGCTTCAGTGTTAAACAGCAGGCTCTCCTGAGCCCCACATGCCTCTCTTCAGAGACTTGCCCAGACAAGGATTTTCAGCTCTCCCTCACCACACAACTTGCGCAACAAGGTTTTCTCATCTTCGGAAAATTGCCATCCTGGCCTTGTGTTGGAAAAATGTTTCCTCTCCCTATTTCTATTTTAGATGGGCCATTTTATCACCAGGTACTTTGTACATCATCAAAACCACATGAAAGTCATTGGCAATAATGCACTAAATTCTGTGTTAAGTGACTAAATAGTGTTTTTAGTTACATGTAACTTCCCTCTAACAATCTCCCAGTCTCTGTTTCTTATTTATTTTGGTTTACTTTTTTCTATCTGTTGGTTTCTGGCTTCTCTCTCAGTGCCACATCAGACAGATGGACCTCGAGCTGTGCAAAGCATTCAGCTGCCAGCAGTAGCCCATACACCAGCTGTCTACCATCCATACCAGGTGCCCTTTGCTCAGGAGTGTCTGTACATCATCTATTTCCTAACAGAATTAAAATCACTTACTGTCACAAAAAGCTGTTTTTCCTTCAGTGGTACAGTCTGGCATTGCCCTACACCCGTTAGGCAGCAGTAAGGAGGGCAGGAAGAGACACCTGGTTATTCATAGAGAAACAACTTACCACAGCTGCTGATTTCAGATCATCATTTTGGCTGGAAAAGTTTCAAAATGTTCACCATCGCTTGCTCTCTTTGGTTTGGTAAGGCTTGGCAGTGAACTTAATTAGAAAATCAAGTGGAGTGGAGGGAACCTCTAATATTTTTGCCTCTGTATCTCCCCCTCAAAACCAAGGGAAAATATATTTACGAGCCTCTGTGAAGACACAGCCTTAAGTGAAAGAATACAAACCCAACATTTGGCTTCAGACGTGCCATAGGTTAGAGAGCCCATGCCTTCAGAGCTGCTAGTGTAGACCCCGTCACCTGACAATGCACAGGATGAGTAAGAACTTCACTTTTGGTGTCAAATTTTGCTGTGCTTTGCTCCAGGATGTTAATTCCACCAACCGCGTTATCTCTGCTCAATCACCAAGAGCCAGACATCTCTCAGCTTTGACTCAGCATGTTTTCTGAACTGCACTCTTTTAACATGTTTTCTAAGGAAAGAGCAGCACATTTGTGACACTATCTTGCTGTGTAGTGAGCACGTGTCTGTCCGCATGTTGCGTTGCTCAGCTCACCACACTCTGAGGTGGGCACGACGTTACCAATAAGTAGGATGGGAAAGAGCCTGGCTACTTTGAGAATGGATGCATTTTTGAGCATACGCCAAAGCTTCAAATCAGTGTTAGCGAGTTTGACATTACAGACTGCTTAAAATTTTGTGAGAAAATGTGGCTTTAAGTGATTTTTGTTTTTTCTTGTGTGGTTTTTGTTAGTGTTTACAAAGTTGAAAGTCCTTTTGTAATGTTCTACTGGACATATGCTAACTTTGGACATTTATATCACATGCCTCTTTAGTGTGATTTTTAGCATGGAAATAAATCTAATTGTTTTTCTAGTATTCTTGTGACAATTTTCTAGCTTATTTTACGTGTTTTTGTGCATAAATGTGTATTTATTTAAAATGGAAGATATTAATTGACAACTTAGTTTGTGTAAATGAAGTTCTTGATATTCTTATTAAAAATAAATTTCTCTCTCTTTTACCCTTTGTGATGCTTTAGTTCTGTTTACCAGTAGTACTGAGCAACCTAGTGGAAGGTGTCCCTGCCACTGGCAAGGTAGCTGGAACTGGATGATCTTTAAGGTCCCTTCTAACTCGAAGCACTCTGATTACTGTGCATAGGGTTCCACACTGTTCCCTCGGTACCCTGCAGAGTGGGGAAGCCTGCTATGCTGAATGAATGGACTGTTCCTGCTTAGGGTAGTATTTGTGCTGCATGTGTTTCTACCAAACATCTCTTCAAGGCCACTTTGCTGCTTTGTCAAGAATGTCGTCAATTCTGCCCCTCCATGCCTCTGTAGCTTTTACACTCAACATTCAATGCAAACTAATGGACACTGTGATTTGTGTGCATCTAGGTGGAATAAAAAGGCTGACAAAAGCTTGGTGGGCCCCCTGCATCCCCCTGTGCAGTATGGCAATCTGTTGCCAAGATCCACTAATCAGTTCAGCAAAGTGCAACCTGTTGTTCTAGGGTTGCCACGGGGCTTGACTGCTGCCCCGGGGGGTTCCTGAGCAGAGCAGGCAGCTCGCATCTCCTCTGAACCAGACCAATACACCCTGCAGATACTGAGCACTGTGCCAAGCCACTGAGGCAAGAAGCTCCCAGCATCTCTGCACAGCACTCTGTGCTCTAGGAAAGGCAGCAGCCACAGAAACTTTGTGAGCTTCAGTCAGGCCCCTGAGGTTCATGTAAAGAAAGCAATTCCTGAGCCATGGTGCCTGAAAATGTGTGTTCAGATACACTACCTCCCTTCAAAGGATATGACAATTGAATTTAGTTTTATGCTGCTTCATTTAACTTGAGGTGGAAGACAGAGAACTCCAAATCCCTACCATGCAATTTTTACAGGTGCAAATTTTGTTTATTTAGTAATCATGGCATTGCCCTCATCTCCAGCTGCACACAATTCAGCAGTTGGGTGTGCAGACACTGGCCTCACTGGTGGCATTTACCACCACTACAGCTTTACTTCACAATCATTCTGTACCTCTACATTAGTGTCTACTTCTGCCAGAAACTCATTTATGGCACAACTGGCACAGCGTGCCACAACCTGGAGAAGGGAGCAAGCTCTACATGGGCAAGCTCTACATGGATGTACAGCTTCTGCATTAGATTGCACAAATTCCAAAGGTCCCTCCCAACCTCAGGCATTCTGTGATTATTAATTACCTGTGAAGGAGTCTGTAAAACTGCCAGTCTTGGGTGATGGGGAGTGAGGAATACAGACCTTATGGAAATACTGGCACCATTCCCTGATACAATACGTGAACAGAGGAAAAGTTGTATGAAACAAAGAAGTTACTGAGAAAATACAATTAATGAGATTACCAGTTTTATGCACCAGCACTTAAGGCTTATGCACTCCAAAGAAATCTCATCTCTAAGCTCAGCAAAGACCTTCTACAGATGCTCATTGGTCTCATTTCTGTGTAGCACTGAGTGGATATTAACCCACTTTGAAGGTACTTAAATCCACATATATTTAGAAATTCACAGAACAAGACCACCTGCCCCACACAGTGCATTACATGAACAGATTGAATTTTTACATGTATATGGACTTCCCCAGTGGAGAATCTATTTGTAACTGAGATTGCATTAATCAGAGGCTGATTAAAAAGAAGGAAAACCGCAAATATACTAATTCTTTGTTCCCTGACACAACCTCTGATCTGGGAGGCAACTACATTACCTGCTCCCCTCTAAGAGGTCCTGGGATTTTCAGCAGTGAATGCACAGGAAAAAAAAAATCTGCTAGCACAATCAGTGATGTTAGAGGAGAAAAAATAATGACCAGAATATAAACCAAAGTATTTATTATGGCTACAGCATTTAGGAACACCTCAGGGATGTGGATGAGATGTGGCAGCTATTCTTTTTTTCCTTTCTGTGTTAATCAGAGATACAAGCTGGAGTATTTCTGGGTGAACAAACTTCCCTGCAAAACAAAAGAAAGGGAAGGTTAATGAAAAATGCTCTGATTTTGCCACGTGTGAAAGGCTGGAATTGAAACGATAGCAGAGATGTCACTTTAGGCTCAGAATAAATGTCAAATTATTCCTTTAAGAAAGTTAATGCTCCCAGTTCAATCCAGCTATGGAGTAAGTGTAGTTACACCCCTTCTTCACAAAAAAGCTTGTATTTTGTGCTCTATTAAGACATTTAAGAGCTGAAAAAGGGATGCAACCTGACCAAGATAATCTGATACTACATATTGTGCTACAGGTAACCACTGCAGTTACAGGTGCACTTAGGGCATATGCTGTCGGCTCTACTCAGACACCAGCTCAATTCAAGTTGTTGGATTCTGGGAGGTAGCAAAGATGTCAGTTAGAAAATAAAGCATTATCAGCTTCATTCACATTGTCCTTTCTTTTCCTTTCCTAATCAAAGTCTTACAGTGAGATTATTATTTTCCTGGAGAATCGCCAAAGTATAAATGGGACTTGTCAGGGACTCTGATGGGTGACTGATGGTCCTCTCATCCCTAGAGTTTGTCTCTCCCTAGTTTTTTTCCCAGGACAGGATGAATTAGTTACAGTTCTCCTCTGGTGTTAACTACCTTGCCAAAATGATAAAGATTTTTTTTTAATTATCTCTGCTTTAAACTACCAGTGTATTTTGCAAAGGATGAAAAGCAGTGGATAGAATAAAAAGTAACACAGTTGCAATCATTTCACTGAGGTGGTTCTCACAGGAACCTTGGTTGGTCACTCAGCTCACCTGGAGATAACAAATCCTACTTCACTGGTTCCCGAAACACTGACAGAGTACAAACAAGCTGCTGTCAGAGCATGGGTGAACACTGAAGACTCATTTATGAAGACTCTGATGTTTCAGGGAGATCCTTACATACATGCAAGTGTAATGAACACTGAGCCTCTCTCTAAGGTGAAAAGTGATGTAAAAGGAATTTGGCATAAATTAAATTCAGGTTTAATACCTACAGATAAATGTCAGGTATGTTCACAATGCATCAAGTTTCCCCGGAATGAGTAAAACAATTGAACAATGAGTAAAATAACTAGTTCTCACTTGCTCTGAATGTCTGTCAGAAAAAAAAATAAATTATATATTTCATTTATGAAAAGAGGAAAAAAAACCAAGCCCAAATGTCATACCAGCAGTTGAATCAAAAAAATCCTGCAGTCTGCCAGGTGTCTTTTCCAACTCTTCATACTCAAATGCTTGCAGTATCATCTCACACTGATCCAACTGCTTTACAAACTTGGCCTCTGCAGTAGACTGGTTTTCATATTCCTGAAAAGATTTGCAATTTTAAGAAAATAATTTTGTTACTCTGAAACAGAACATTAAAATCTCTTTATATATCTAGAATTTTCTTCATTAGTAAAAGCCACTCCAGAAATATTCAGCACAAATGTATCTTTCACTTGGATTTTACAAACACACAGTGGTGAGCAAAACACTTGAAATACGTGCCAATTTTATGTTAAATGCAGTGGGATGTAAAATACAGCCTTTTGCATAATC